ATAAAAATAAATAACGATTAATATTAATCAGAATTATAATTGGAGAAAGTGATAATAAGCTCCTAATAAGTTACTCCAATTAAGTTTTCAATAAGCTACCTTATAAGCAAGTTGTCCATCCAAACATGTACTCAAAAAATAAGTTAATTTATAAGCTAGCTTTTGTTTGTCAAATAATGCTTAAAAAATCAACTCCAACCGCACAATAAAAAACATCTTTAGCATTATAATAATAATAACTTAATACTACTTAATATATTAAATTATTCATTAATATATAATTATAAAAACTTAATATTATATTAAGGGGTCGTTTACCAAACACTTACTTGGTAAGCGTTTACCAGTAAATTTAATATTGTCATTTACTTACCGGTTAAAATTTTAGTCCACCAAAACAGTATCGTATGCAACAAGTTACCCGGTAAGCGCTTACCGTGGTAAGAGTCGTCGCCCTCACTTACCGGGTAAGACTCTTGGTCTTTTTCTTGCTTTTACCGGGTAAGATTTTTGGTTTTTACCATATTCATCCGATAAGGTAATGTGACTTGGTGTTCACTTACCCGAGTAAGCATTTGATGAACGACTCCTATTTGCAGAGGCCATCTTTTTTTACTTCCATATATAGAGACCAAGTTTGGAGACCTATGTCTTTTTTTGGAGATGAAAACACCTTTATTTTTATGTTTTAGTGTTGAGTTGGAGATGTCTTAAAATGGGAAAATGAATTGGTCTCAAACTAGAATACTCACTTATTTTATTTTATTTTATTTTTCACTTTAAAAAAGTTACCTTCTTAATCTATACTATTTTATAAAGCATTTGGCTAAAACTTTTAAACTCGTTCATCCCTAAACAATTTCATCCTTATCCGATTTCATCCCACATTTGAATTCGTGTAACTAACTGCAGATAAACACAATCAAATACAGAATAAACATCTCATTTTAAATATAAAAAATCTAAAATATAATTAGTATAATCATTAAATTCTAACAGAATACTTAATTATTATCTTTATAAAATTTATAATATTAAACCAAAAATAAATTGTTTTATTATTAAACTTAAATTAAATTACATATAAAAAAAAGTATTCTATATCATAAATCATTTGACAAAAACTCTTAAAAACCATTTTTTATGCGTAAAGTACTGTTTATTAATGCATATTACTTAAAACTCAAGATTACTAATAAATTGTGCGTAGGTACAACTTATTAAAGCTCCATATATGAATTCGTACTAACTGCAGATAAACACAATCTAAAAATAAATTATTTCATTATTAAACTTAAATTAAATTATAAAAAAATAATCTATACTATATTATAAAACATTTGACAAAAACTCTTAAAAACTACTTTTTATG